CAACTTAAATTTTTCAAAAGGCCTTCAAGCCTTTTATAAATATGATGCGCTCAAAGATCAAACGGTATGAGTTTCGCTAGAACTTCAAAGGGTCTTTCCGTCGTCGGATTAGGAAACGGCTCTAGCGGTAGAGCCACTGTACGGCTTCAAGCCTTAACGGCTGAATTTGAAAAAATAAAGCTAAAATCTACTCTAATTTGGTGCGAGAGACTTAAATTAACATAAGTATGTTGGAATTGATAAAATACAATACCAATTAAGACATAATTGGATAAACTCCTAAAAGGATAAAATAGCTTGCGGATAATATATGTCTTGCGTGTTCTTCTTCTTCTTTTGCGCATGCATTGATTGTGTTTTAAATCCTAACAAACCGTCGTTTCCTATAATCAATAAGATGGTTGTTTATTCCTTCAAGCACTTTCTCCCCACTACCCGACATTATGTCTATTTTCCTTTATCTCTTGGAGTAGCAGTTAGTACTTAACTGATCACATCCTGTTGACGAGCCTTATACCGTGAAACCTCATCTTCTAGAACCGCTTCCCTTGAAGCCCGATCTTCTGGAGCCTTGCGGTGTAGCGATTATAGGCTACAGAGAATTAGGATGCTCTTGTAACCTACAGGGTCCTGAAACCTCTTCCTAGTTTTGCTTCTGGTCAAGTCTCCTTCAGCTGACACAATATACTACTTTATTAGATGATATGTTTATAAGATTATGTTTACATAAAAAATTAAAAAAATATATATATATTTTGATATATATAAGAAAAAATAAAATTAGCTTTTGACAAATTAAGTTACGTGGACTTTAGTTGTTCGCAATTTTAGTTGACAAAAATGCTGGAATTTAGCTATAAAAAATTTTGTAATAAAAAGTAATAAACTCGTAACAAAAAGGTTTTGCGATGAAATGAATTTTGTTGCCTATACCGCATTGGTAAAGTTTTTGACGACAAATTTTTGTAACGAAAGATAAGGTTTTATTTTGCAATGAAAGTTAAGAAGAAAAATATAGTTACGAAAATATGATTTCGTAGTTAAAGCTCTTTTTCTATAAAAATAAAATTTGCAACAAAAGAATTTTAACAATAAAATATGCATGTATTTTTTAGCCAAATAGATTTAGCTATGAAAGATGATTTTGTAGTTAAAAATCTTTTGCTATGAAAACAAAAAATTTTAGCAAAAAAATTTTAGTGACGAAATTAATTTTGTTGTACATAATTTATTTTAGCCATAAAATTATTTTTTGTTGCTGAATGACACGTTTTGGTTACAAATATTATAGCTAATTAGACATTTCTTTTTGTAGTGCCTTGATTCCTTGTTTTTTTTTTTTTCATTGTGTTTCGTTTATCAATTTTTCCGAATAAGACTCAAATCTTTTTTTGAAGAGATCGAAGAACGACCCACCCGAATTTCGATTGACTCACTCCGAGAAGTCACTAAAAAATATTTCAACAAATATATATTTCAATTTAGTTGATGGAACATAAACAGCTAACTGATATAATGTTTTAAACCAAAAAAAAATAATTTTTTTATATAATATATCAAATGAAATATAACTATATGATATAATGTTTTACGGAGAAATAATCAATAAATTACTTTAAATATACTGTGAAAAGAAAATGTGCAAAAATATTATATGTATATTACTCCCTCCGTCCCATATAATTTTTTTCTATTTTTTTTATTTTCGTATGTTCACCATAATTTGTCATTTCCTTGTTTGGAAAATTAATTATACACTTTAATCATATTTTAAAATTTAAAATTTAATTTTTTTTTAATTTTAATTAAACTATTTAGTTATCTTAATTTTAATTTATAGTTATTTTTACTAAATAATAATTATTTTTACTAATATATTTTTTAATTATTTACTAATTATATTTTACCTAAATTCCCGTGTCTACAGTAATAGACGATGCGACGGAGGGAGTACTAAAGAATGGATAGAAACTTTCATGCATGCACTAGCAGAAGATGAAGAAAAAAAAAAAGAATAATAATTAAAAGAAAGAAATCTGAATATAGTGGGGTGCATCCACAAGTGGATTTGGTCGGTTTAATTTGTACCCATTGGATCGGATTGTTACCGTAATCGTTGTTCTCATTCTTTATAAAACTTTTTATGTATAAGTAAATAATTATCTAACATATTTATAAAAGGTTTTTGTAGTTTCCTAATTTTAGAAATTTTTAAATAATACTCCATCGGTTGCACATACCATGTCCATGTTACCATTTATGTCCGTTTCATATACCATGTCATTTTCTTTTTTTGAAAAATGATTACATATTTTAATTTCATTTTAAACTTTTTAAGTTTTTTTTTTTTTAATTTTAATTAAACTAATTAGTTATCTTAATTTTAATTTATAATTATTTATATTGTAGAATAATTATTTTCACTAATATATTTTTAATTATCTACTAGTTACATCCCTCCTAAAATACCGTGTCTACAGTGTAGCAGCCACGGTATGTGAGACGGAGGTAGTAAAAATTTAAAATATTTGATGTGATAATTTATGAAATGAAATATATTTTTGATATAATATTTTTTAAAAAATGATTAATAAATAGTGTGAAATTTCTCAAATATATATATATATATACACATAGGGCATGGATATCCGGTAAGTCAATGTGGTGGTGATTTGACCAGATATGTCATATGAATGACCAGCATATATTTATACGTATTTCAGCATAAATATGGTTGACGAGTATATATTTATACATATCTCAGCATAACTATATTGCTGAGACGTGTATAAATATATGTTGGTCACCATATTTATGCTGAGATATATAAATACAAATATGTTAAGATATGTATAAGTATATGTTGATAACTCGTATGTGTTGAGATATATATAAATACAGATATGTTAATATATGTATAAATATATGTTGATCACCCATATGTGTTGAAATATCTATAAATATGTCATTCATATGATATGTATTGATCTAATTAAATCAGCATTATGCTAACTTGGTCGGATCAGCACGAGAACCGCAACCAACAATCATATAATAAATTTACAAGGCTACTTTTTCAAATTAGATAGATTCATTTTTATAATGTTACATCAGTATTGGGTTAAGTTGAAATACTTTTTTTATATAATTTAATATGTTAAACTCATATATGACATATGGTAGTACGTCATTATATTGACCGTAATTAATCAGCACACAAACTGTTATTGTAAAATAAAATCCAACACAAACTATAATATATACGAGGAATAAATTGATAGACAAATTATATACTTCATACTTCGTCTGTCTCATATAAGATTGGTGTATTACTGTAGATGCGAAAATTTAGGTAAAATATAATTAGTAATTAATTAAAAAATATATTAGTAAAAATAATTATAGATTAAGATTAAAATAACTAAATAGTTTAATTAAAATTTAAAAAATTCTAAATTTAAAATTTAAAATGTGATTAAAATGTATAATTATATTTAAAAAAAAATGACAAATGATATGGAACAGACAAAAATAGAAAAGATGGATAAATTAGGTGGGACGGAGAAAATATTAATATAACACAGATATAAAATTTAAGTTGATAATATAAAACAATAATCTACATACTAAATACTATAATTAATTAGAGCACACAATTATGCTAATACAACAATGTGCCGACTAATACTTAATCAACATGCACTCCCTAGACAATACTGTAACTATTTCCATGACATACATTATTTTGATATATATTATTATTCCTTTTGTCGCTCAAATTTATTATTATTATTTTTTTTTGTCATATAAATTTTTTTTAGTTTTTATTTAATAAAAATATACTATTTTTTTCTATTTTTTATCCTAAAAAAATTTATGTTCTTACTTATTTTTCGTAAAGCATGTATCCAATCAATCGGCACTCTTTTTTACGACGGGGGAGTACTTGTTTTACTTGATTTAATATGTCACAAAACTAATATTATCTCCGTCCCAGAAAAGATGTTTTATTGGAAGAATGGACACGAGAATTAAAGAATAATAGTATTTAATTGAAAGTGGGTACAAAGTAGAAGGTAAGACTAAAATACCCTTATTTTTTGAATGATTTTAAAAAGTAGGTTAGAGTAATAATTATGGATAGTTTGGAAAAATATGAATAATTTTGTTATAAAGTGGGAACCACAATTACTAACTAAAGAAATAGGACAATTGTATTGGGACGGACGAAAATGGAAAAAGAAGACAACTCTATTGGAATCACTACCAAAAAAACTGTTTTCTATTACGGCCGGAAAATCGTAACAAAAAGTCATATTTCGTGCAATTTGCGTATTTGCTACGCCTTTGTTACGACTTTTTTCCGTAATGTGTACTCGCGTAACGAATGTTTTTTGCCACGCCACTTTTCGTAACTATTACGATCGGTCAACGCTCCCTGAAGTATGGTATTTGTTACGATGTTTGTTACGAATTTTCTCTCGTAACGAAAGGTAGATCCTTCCGCGCGTGTGGCAGGACTTTTAGTTACGGTATTTGTTACGGAAGTTCCTCGCGTTACAAGTGTTTTTCATTGACCGATTGTCAGAACTTGGTTTTTGTTACGACTATTTGTAACGGCATTGAACCCCGTAAAAAAAATATTACCTACTTATAGTCACGAAACCGTCTGTAACAACAAATATCCAAAGACCACTTTTTGTTACGATTTTCTGGCCTTTTGTTACGGAAAAATAGCGTATTGTGAAAAACAGGGGGTACGCTGCAATTGAAATTGTTCGTAACAAATGGAACTGCTGTGATGCGTATGATACGAAAATAAATTACGAATACAAAGATTGCTATAAACATCATCATCATTACGCCCCGCGCAAACATTAATTCATATTAAAATCTGAATTCCATACCTACCAACAAAGTAAAGCAACCCATAGAACAAGCCTACTAGTATCTACACATCAACAACATGTTCCGCAAAACGTGCTTAACAGTTCAAACACAAGTAAACAACGCAATAAGCAAATACGGTTATCCATCAATCCCATTAGGCACATTTTTCACCATACGAATTCAAACCACAAAGGTCTACGCATCAATTCCAGACATAGTTCAACAAAAACTCAACACAATCCATCCAAAGACAGGTTCGACATTCAATCCATATGACAAACGGGGCAATTAACATGGGTGTATCGGTACCAACATTTCAAGCCCGGCGCATGAGCTGCAATTGCCAACACAGAGATTACTTTAAGTCATACTTCTTATAAATTTCGGAAGGCAATACAAGAAAGGTATTAAAGTAGATACTTACGTCCTTGTAGCTCCACTCAATAGGATCTTCGCCGACGACATCGCGAAGGGTAGTCGCCCCAGAAATGGTCGGCAAAATAAGGGGTGTGTCCGGGACTGACGCGGATGTCACGAAGACCTTGACCAAGGAAAGTGTGTCACCTACAGCATTCACAAGAGCAATTTTCGATTACATTCAAGCATATATATCAACAGACGTTCGAACTGTATATATAACATGTCATAACACAGACATTATAAGTGTAATACTTTGGAACTAGAACAAGAGGAGTACGTACATTCAGACATGTCGTACAGTACATGGTATTACATTCATGAGTTAGGTAGCGAAGCACATTATACCCTAATTTCCTATGTAATTGCAGCTTGATCTTTAAACCAAACATCCTTCAATAAACATGGGTCGTCATAATAGCAGTTATTTTACCACCCCTACATTAACAGTCTACATCGCTTTGGAAATCCACGGATCGTATCATTGTATACTTCTACACTTAGTGAATCCATGCTAATACGCAATATGAGGCCTGAACAGTCACGAAAACCTACGATATCTCGCTGAGGCATATTAAAAGTTTAATTAAACATCCTCAAAGATACCGGACCAACCTGGCCCAGGGGGGCAGAGCAGAAGTCCCTTTGCAACAACTTTTTTGTCACCGGTGCGGGATAATAGAAGCACATGTGTGCCGACCTACAACAGACAGGGCATATGAGTTTGATAAGGTAGTACGCAGTCAAGAGTAGCCTAAATTAGACACTGCACTGATTTCTAAGAAACTCCAGGGCGTCACGGAATCATACCGTCATGCTTGGCTCGGACACAGGCCTGGGAATCTCAGGGACTGAATCAATACGAGATGTGCCCTATCATATAACATGCCGATCATGGTAAATTCCTTCGCCATCCAAATCTCATGGGATACTCATACCAAACAGGTCAGGGATTATGAATACTTACTGCCTGGCCAGTAACCGCTCCGGAGTTTCTGTGCATGAATGCATACACATCAGCCTTGATGGTTTTGAACTCATCCATCATTGCCTTCAGCTCCTCCATTCCATTCTGTAGTTGTTCCCACCCATGCTGGAATGCTACACTGTCTGTTAAACCAGTTGACTCGCTGCGGGGATGAGCTGAACTTGCCGCACTGTCGACCTTTGACCGCTTCTTAATCTTTCCCCCAAGGGCCCGTCGGTACAGAGTCTCCCGAACAGAGGGAGTCCGCCCTTCAGGGGGAACCTTGTTTAGCTCATTCTGTAAATAAGTCTACAGGAAAGATTTAAGTGAGGCCGAACTTGCTCTTGTTGTTAGAGATGTAAATACTGACTGAATTGTAACTAAGTTGGGAACGAATTTATTCTACCAATATCTCCTCGGTTTCTTGGTCATCCTTTCCCTTGCCTTGTGTGCGACTGGAAATCCAAATCTCCAGATTGTCGGGGTCCTTCCCCTTTGCCTTGATCTGCAGCAATACAAGGCCTTCTGTCATCGAAAACATAATGAAATACAGGAGAGGAAAATATGGGGATGGAGCATGACATGACTAATTACTTAATTGTAATAAAAGGTACCTCCTCTGCCAGAGTCGTGAATGACTTCCGCCCAGTACGATGTGGAAAGCTTCTTTTCGCTACGTTCGACGCATTTTTCTTGGATTGAAGCTACGTCAATCAAAGTTATTTAGTTCTCAGTCCATGCCCGTGCAGATTTAACGTATATTAATTTGGCATGTCCCTATGCGTACCTTCACCTTCTCGTCGCGCCAATACTCAACCAACTTCGGCCACTGATCGGGCACAATCCTGCTTGAGGGAACCTTCTTCAGTGCTTCTTCATCGTCCTCGATCGGATTGAAGTAAGTTGATTTGATGCTGTATTTCCAGTGCCTCCAAACTTCCCTTAGGTCACCTTCTCGTCGCTGAGTCTGGTAATCCGCTGTTACTCTGGAATGCCGTTTCACACGGTTTCCACCAGGTCCGGAGAAGATGGTAGGGCCATATATAAGAATCTATATGAAATAAAAGAACTTTCAATTTAATGAAGTTTGCATCACCTGAACCTCCATCCATGCACCCTGTCTCTTCGTCTCCGGTATCTCAGCGAACGTGGGGTAATGTAGAGGAAGTCGAGCTCCGTTGCGTGCAATGACCCCAATGGCTGTCTTGTACTCGTTTACGTCGGGTCCGACGATGCTTTTACCATCCGGCGATGTGAATACAAGCATCCTGTGATCTTTTCCCCATCCACGCGGCATTCGTGCCGCCCCTCTCCCCTGCTTTTTCTTTGACGAACCAGCTGACAAACAGGAGATTACATGTTCTAATAAGGATATTACATGCAAAATATGAAGTCACTAAATGTAATCGGTAATCTTTGAAGGCTAATTTCCAAACCGTCGTGCGATGTCATCTCGTCCAATGGTGCCATATTGCCCGCCTCTGTTCCTGTCATCAGAGTGGGGTCGGAGCCTGGCCCTTCATCCAAGAGTGGCATATCACTCTCTGCAGTCTCCATGTCCTGCGTCGGCGGAAGTGTCTCGTCATCCTGTTGTGTGGGGGGGATTGTATCATCGTCATCCTGTGTCAGTGCCGTCGGATCAAAAAGTGATGGAACATCCCTATCATCATGTTCATGTTGGGGTTAACAGTGTCAGCCTATTGTAGTGTTATACTGAGAGTTCAAATAAGGACATGCTTTCGGCAAAGGAACCACATTACCTCCAAAGGGCCCTCTGAATCCTGAAGCACTGCCCTTCGAGTGGAAGATGTTGGCTTCATGCTTTGACCACGAGCATCGCGCTCTTTCTCCCACTCTGATGTGATGGACCGGAGTCGCTGGAGCAGTGGCGAGACCCGAGATCCCTTCCGTTTTGTCACTTTCTTTGTGGGATTGCGGATGGGCGATGGATTCCTGCTTGCGGGATGAGTTGCCTCTAGGGGGCTGTTACGTGCGGATGCTCGGGTAAAACGTCTTGCGGGAGAGACTGCCGGATCCTGTGACCCTCCAACGGCACCACGTTGAGATTTGCCCATAACCTGCAAGACACCAGTGTTAGTTGGCAGTATGAAAACGTATATTAGGAGAAAATCAAAACACACTTATCACAACAAAGCTTATGAAGTGACATATTACGAGAAATTCACATAATAGTTACTGCAATTAATCAGGGTAAATTGCTTCAGCATACGCAAACGGGGGTAAAGAGCTTATCCGCGTTGACATATTCGGAAAAAATCATAACATCCTGCGCGCGCATAATGGATGCAAAGTGCTTCAGCAAATCAAGCGAAAACAGGGCCTATGAACGATGGCATGCATGTCCGAAAGTGGTTACCTATTACGTACTTCAATCACCGACCCCCCCTCCCCACATAGATGACCATCTGTTGAGATGTGTAATTTATTCTGAACTGCGAACTCAAAAAGGTTGCGTGGTTGCCAAACCATCAAAAATGGGCCAATTAGGCTATATTCGCATACTACCAAAAATGCCCGCTTATTTGATTCTGCGCTAAGCACCATCATCTTCGGAGGATTCCTCCGAATCCGAAGGCGAAGTATCGGCATGGTCCATCTGCCCTGCATCTTCTACTACTTGCCCCTCAATACCTTCCCTTAGCCAGTAATCGGCTGCTCCTCTAACATTGCCTCCGTCATCTAAAGGTAACCCTGTGCTGAATCTATGATCGATCGTACTATACACGTCATACGTGTCTCGCCGTGACACCGGAACGACAACGCTCCAACCTTCATCAACCGGGTCTGCAATGTACCACACCTGAGAGGCTTGGGTCGCTAAGATGAAAGGCTCATCCGTGGGCAAGTTCTTAGGGTACATCAAATACTTAAAGTTCACACATTTATATTTGAACTCATCCTCTTTAACGCCCCTCTCCAGATCCACCCAGTCACATTTTAAAAGGAGATACTTCTGTTGATTGCTATAGTACACTTCCACAATGTCCGTAAGAATCCCGTAATATGCCACGGAACCTTCTCGTGGGTTATGGTCCCTAGCTGAGGCATAACTCACTGTATCTGCCGTAACCATAACACCTGCACACTGTGTCCTCTTCCTTGCATCCCGGTGTTGAACACGATAGCGTATTCCTGACACAATGCACGAAGAGTACCGTGTTGCATTGCATAATGGTCCACCCGCCAATGCACGGATCTCCGCTGAGATTGGGCACTCATCATTATTCGTCGGATCATCTACCTACATTTGATGTAAAGTAGTTCATGAACACTCGTGATTTCAATGTTTTTTGGGAGTGTAGTCAAGATACCACGTACGGACGATGTAGGCGGTACTCACATATGATTGAAACCAAGACACAAATTGTTCGTTGTGCTGCTGGTGCACCTCACGTGGGGGTGCGCGAGTTCGACATGACCTAATAGTATCAAGGTGAATCCTACAGTGCAAAAATAAAAGTCGAAGATATTCAACACAGGTCGGATACGCATACAAGTATTGTTAAATTGATGTGAAAAAACCTTCGCAACGGACTGATTTCATCTATATTTCCTAGGATGTAGCAATGAATTTGGTGCATCGTATTGTAATCAAGATTGAACCTACAACCAAACAATCCTTTCCCGTGTTGTGTCCCGTCCTCCTCCCCTCGAGCAGCCCGGTTCTCTTTGGTCTCTATGTCTCCAAGATATCTTGAGCAGAAAGTCACGCATTCTTCCATGAGGTATCCACGTGCAATCGAACCCTCAGGTTGTGCCCTGTTCCGTACGTACCTCTTCAGAGTACCCAAGTACCGCTCAATGGGATACATCCACCGGTACTGCACCGGACCGGCCACCATAGCCTCCTCAGCCAAATGGATAGGCAGATGCTCCATTACATCAAAGAATGAAGGTGGGAATAGCTTTTCAAGATGGCATAGCGTCAAAGAAATTCTTTCTTGGATTCGCTCCAGTTCACGAACTGTGTTATGAGCTGAGCACATCGAATTGAAGAAGTTACAAAGTTCAATCAACACGAGCACAACATTTTTGGGAAGACACCTACAGGAAGTGTTGAATCAGCACCTTCAGTTATATTTAGAGGAGGCATATATCATGTTAATTAAAATAATTGCGTTTCAAGGGTATACCGTCGGGCAGCAATAGGTAGAATTCGTTGCATAAGAACATGGCAATCGTGGCTCTTAAGTCCCCATATTAGTTGTTGTTCTACCTTCACACGACGCGATAAGTTTGAACTGAACCCATGAGGTGGTCGGAGGTCCTTCAACACAGATAGGAAAATCCGTTTTTCGGGGTTACTCACGGTGTACGTAGCTGCCGGCAAATATATAGCGCCCCTAGGACCCGATACCGGGTGTAAAGAACTACGTATTTGCATCAACTGTAAGTCTTTCCTCGTGTTCAGATTGTCCTTTGTTTTCCCCTTAGTTCCCAACAATGTATACAGTACATTCTCACACACATTCTTTTCAATGTGCATCAAGTCGAGGTTGTGACGTACCTCATTCTCAGACCAATAAGGGAGCTGAAAGAATATGCTCTTTTTTTTCCACACCCGTTGCTGCCCGTCCACCCCCCGGCGACGCTTGCGAGACCCCTGTGCAATGCGTTTCTCAATCAAGTCAACCGTACGATACTCAGTAGGCATATC